GCTGGCAGTACTCTCTCTGGGAGTTAGAAGACCACTGGCCCCTGTGGGGCCTGGGGGGTAAATATGGGGCAGAGATGCTGGGCTGGGCCTCCACCCACCAGTGGAAGGGCTGGTACGCAAGGAATAGTAGTACTCGGCTCGCAGTAACTAGTAGCAGCACGTACAACAACAACCTGTTAATGCAGTGTCACTATGTCAGTAAGTCGTTGGAACAATTGTCCACCATCATGATGCTGATCGAACAAAAGGTTGTATCCAGAGGGACGTTGGACCCGATTTCCAGCAGGTGTTGCTCCCCACCAATAGATGGAGCCTCCAAGTGGGGCTGTGGTGGTGAGTGAACCGCCAGCAGGTGTTGCTCCCCACCAAGGACGGAAGCGAGAAGCGTGCGGAGTTTGTCTCTACTGATAAGCTGAAGCAGGCTATCGATGCAGCACTTCCGGAGGCCAATGCTGCACACGTGACAAGAAGACTGGAGACGGAAGCTCGCAGCAGTCTAACAGCTAATCAAAGGGAAGGTGACAGAGACGGACGTATCGAAAATGGTATCAGATATGATGGCCCTCAAAAAGTAGCTGGAAGAAATGAGGAGCATCAAATACTATATTGGTTGTCGATTGCCCATATCAAGACCCCAGCAACGAGACAGTTTGTGTCTCCACGCCAGCAGCAGCTACTGGCAAATGGTAAGACTCCGACGAAGAAGACTTCTCCTAATCCAAACGGAGCTGGGCCAAGTAGCGTTAAGAAGAAGGCGCTGCAAGGGAAGGACCAATGCAAGACTGCGGCACGTGCTAAGGCTCGACGGAGAATCCTGCAATGTATGCAGCTTTCAGAGGATATGCTGAGTGTGCTCCAAATGGACGATTTGAAGCAGCTCTGCTCCATGCACAACGTCCATTACATGAATATGCTACAGGCATGCGTGGCGTTGAGGAAGATCCCTGGATTGATTATGTATGACACTAAGGATTTGCCTGATCTATCTGTGGCAGGTGAAGAGGTCTATGGAGCAAATGCGTACAAGGAGCAGTCGGAGGAATCTGAGTCGAAGAGGAGGAAGATGCATATTCGGAGGGACCGGAGGCGTCCAAGGACGTGCAACCCAGAGGAGCCAGCGTCACAAGCTTGCAACCTGCAATTACCTGGAATCTCACCTTGCAGTGTAGCCGAGAGATCAGTGAGCTGATCGAGGAGCGGAACTGGAAGGACTGCATTACGATAAACAAGGTATACAGAATAGCAGTATGGTCACTTATGAGTAATGGCGAAATCAGATGGGCCACGAGAGTGTAGTCGCTAATTAGGATAATGAACACGGACTGGTAGGTGGGAGCACCTTCTTAGTGCACCATGGTGCAGACACCTCTACGCCGGGAAGACTATCAACCTATCAGGGGGTTAGATCGACGGTGAGCACGCGACTGTCGTACTAAAGAAAGAGATGAAACATCACAGGAAACTCTATTTGTGGGTGGCTAAATACGGGTTACGTAAGTATGTATGCATTCCTATCTGGGTGGGCAGCGCAAATAATGTTGCACGCAGAGAGAAAAAAACTAATCATGAAATGGAACCCGTATCTCAACACCCACACCACAGGAGAAAGAAGATAGGAAGCAAGAGCGTAGATTAAATCCTTGGAAAATTGGGATGCTTCTTGCTCCCACTAACCACTCACCTGATGAGGCTGATGTTCTTGTTTGTTCTCATCACAGGATGTCGTTACTTCGCAGTTGATCAGTCTGTTGAAGCCTAAGGCTGCCGTCAAATCATTCAGAGGTAGTCTCTGGATTGAGAGTTGGGAGATTGTCAAGCAGTTATTAACTAATCTTAAGAGAGTGTCATGTTTGGTTTGAACGTGGATGCACAGTCTTAGGCTTCCCAATAAGAAGCAGTTACTAACGAATCTTAGGCACAACAGGACACCACTGTTAATAACTGCTTCTTATTAGCAGTGGTGTCCTCTTAGGCACAATCTCCCAACTCTCAATCCAGAACGTGGATGCACAGCAGTGGTGTCCTGTTGTGTCGAGAACCTCTCATTTGTAATAAGAATGAAGAACACAGTCATCTCCCTATTGTGTGTGCTTGGTATAAGAGCAAAGTTGTATGGTTATTCTCTGGCGAAGATCACTGGACTGTACGCAGGCATGCACCTGATTGCATCAAATTCTAAGAAAAGTCGAGGAATACTCCGTGGCTGCTTGTCCAGAACAGCTAACAGGAAATTCAACGTGAATTTATGTAGATGGTTTATCCCGTGATTGCCTTTGTCACCAGATATCAGCTTAATCGACGTGAAGAAGGTATTTTGCACTTTGATACTTAGTACAATCAAACACGGAACGTTGGCTACTATATATGAGAAATGTGCAAGGACGATGTTTGCAAAGTCTCGGATAGTGGGAGAGATCCTACACAACTTGAATCATAGAAGACTGGTGAAGGATAAACCTCCTTGTCCATGTGACGATGTGAGTCAATGGATTTTCCCAAAGTTGATTCACATGTTGCATTCCGCCTATCTGATGTCACTACTGATAAGCTGCTTTGTAAGGCTAAAAATGTGTCATTCTCCGTGTCTGTTCATGGGAGAAGAGAGCAAGCAGGTCATATTCCACGGATGTATCATAATGAAGTCATGGAACCGGTAAATCTTGATCATTGCCTTATCCAGGCGAATAACTTCGATACGGGCTTGAATATTAAAATTGTTTCAACATGGAAGCAAAAGTCCCAGACTCCCTCAAGGCTCATGCTCTCCATTAGATCACAATCTAGGAGAAACATAAGTGGAGTGTCCAATTTTTTTTTTGGAAAGAATGAATAAAATCTTTATTGGAGTTGGCAATTACCAGGTGGTCGATTCCACTATGCAGGATATGCTTGACCGAAACCAGATGGAATACAAGCAGATGGGTCTGACTAGATTTGTAAAATGTATCCGAAATCTGTGAAATGGAACCAGCAAGGCAGGTATGACCATGCCTATGTGATGCCGAAGGATAAGGATGTCGTGAAAATGTGACCTATCATATGCACCTTTCAAGAACCTTCACTGCAAGCATCGAAGATCCTGTCACGTTGTATCAACTTCTTGGTGCGAACTATGAAACAAGGATTTGGTATGATGGGGACGAATGAATTGGTATCCAAAATAACAACGTTAACGAGCAAGTGAGTAGAGTGTTTGGCACACATGCCGATGCCTTAAGTGCTACATTTGATTCGCAGGACATATTTACATGTCTAGATCATGCACACATTTTTAAACCACCAGTACATGGCCCCAGGCAACTAGAGAACCTGTTTTGACCCTCTCCAAGCAACGTATTTAAAATGAATCAGCTGTGGGCGGCCTCCGAAAGGGGTCTGCGGCCGATAGCTAACATGTACTGACAGTGCTGGTGCTTTAAGGCTATTGATTGACTTGTTTGTCATCACCTTCAACTGAGTCGTACACATTTATGAATCAAAATGCAAGGCAATCAAATTGCATTGGGAAAAGCGAATGGTGTGTGGGGATGGAAGACAATAAAAATAATTGATCTACCTCGATTGCTCCAATTTGATATTTCACATGCATTGTTTTAAGTACAAGGTTACGCGATAAGGCAAACACTTGGCATTCCAATGTGAAAATGATCCAGTCACCCCATCGCTGGTCTGCAATTATGATGAAGTATATTGGATGAAATCTTTGGTTAGCGACGAGAAATTCATCTCTGGGATGTGGTTCGTTGATGACGTCTTCATCGCTGCAATGTGTAGTAAGGAGGACAATCGACATGGTTGCGATCTCTTACGACATTTCCAGAATTGTTATCACAGTTCGCTGAAATTGGAAGCCACTTCTAAGATTCAGGACTCAGAGAGGTACCTCAAGACAGTGATTATCAAGCAAGAAAAAGGGTCCTCGTAAAGTGCTTACAATGCCTTACATCGTTTACAAAGTCACCAATGACTCCAAGTGGCGCTTTTTGGTTGATTCCATACGATTAAACACTTCACTAACAAGAGTTTTGGTCCTCTCAAAATTAAAGAGATTGCGATACTGGGGAAATCGGATCGGAACTCAACTAACTCCACAAGGCAGTCGTCGGTACCATGTGCAGCGGGCCTTTATCTGCCCCGGCCTACAGCCAGGGCCTATTCGGCTATTTGCCAGTTCGGCTTGTGGGACCAGGCCGTGGCCTGACCCCACAGGCCATGTTCTGTTTCAGTCCAGTCCAGTCCTGCCCGGTACCATTGTCAGTACCAGGCCAGTCCAGTCCACTCAGTCCGCTGGGGGTATACCCCAAGTGTTTTCTATTTTCCAGATGATTCTTCATTTTGCACTTTTGGAGTAAACAACCATTTTGACAAAACGGACATATTATATTTTTTGAACGAAATTAAAATTCAGTTTTGGGGACGAAATCCGGTCCAAAATTTTGGCTCCTGGGGGTCCGGCGTTCCTAGAACGTCGGCCCCGCTAGATGTATCTAGTCTCAAGCTGCGACCAGATACACCTAGGGGGTCCGGACCCCCAGGAGCCAAAAATTTGGACCTGATTTCAGCCCAAAAAATCAATTTTAATTTCGTTCAAAAAATATAATATGTCCGTTTTGACGAAATGGTTGTTAGTACGTGCGTATCGAGTCTGCGTCGGAGCTGCGCTGTCCCGTCCAGCTCCATCTCCATCTCCATCTCCTCCCCCTCAACCCTTCGTCGTGATCTTGACGGACCGCCATCCCGGCGGGTCCTTCACACTAGTATCAGAGCGGGAACATTCCCCGCTCCCACCCACCCTGGCCCCAACTGTTGAAACCCGACAGCGGGTTTTTGAGGTGTTTTCGCTAGGGAGATATCCCGGGCGCCCGGGTCCCGATGTCATGTCCGGTATGCCGACCGGGTGACAGGCCGGGCATGACCCCCCAGCATGGCCCCCGATAGCCTCAGCGCAAAAAAAAAAAAAAAAAAAAAAAAAAAAAATCAAATCCAAACAAATCTGAAAAAATAAAATTGATGTGTAGAATTGCAATAAAACAACTTTTGGCTGAGGGTCACATTAGAATTCCTCACCGAACTAAAGATAAAAAAGAAAATAACCATATCACACTAAGGCACCCCCCTTTAAACCCCTTTAGCCCTTTCAAAATTCATTTACACTCCCCTTTCCCCCCTTGACAGCCAACACTCAAAAAAAGAAAAGAGCCCGGATTTGGGCTTTTCTCAGAGAGCGAGGAAAAAACCCACCGCCATTTTTTTTTTTTTTTTTTTTTTTTTTTTTTTTTTTTTTTTTTTTTTTTGCCATGATCGGGTCACCCGGGCGTCAGACCCCCCCGGGCGTCATGCTCGGGTGACCGGCCAGTCCAGACCAGCCGGTCATGAAAATCTTTCTATGTTTTTCGGGCATTTTCGTGGAAAACAGTGGGCGCAAAGGTGCATCGGCGACGGAGCAGAAGGCGCCGACACATGGCAGAAAAGAGAGAGAGGTAGCACCAAGGCTGCCCCACGCGCCACGTTGTCGGGCAGCCCAAGCCTTACGCCGCCCTTTACTTCCTTTATAAGGGCGTGCGACAAGGACATTATTTAATAGTTTTTACCTGACAGAAACTCAGTGGGTCATGGGAAATACGCCAACGGATCGACGGTGCGAGTGGCCGGGCCACGACACTTAGTTTGGGTGGGGCATGAGCATTAAAAACCGATACTTTTGTGAAGTGGGCGCGGACGTAAGCCGCTGACGGACATAAAAAAACTACTACAGCGCAGGAAGTTTTCGAGGGTTCGGGACGAAAGGCACGACCGCCAGGGACCAGGGTTGCTCTAAAGGTCGACATAAAGCTGGGGGAAAAGGGGCGCCGGGCACTTAACGCAAGGCTTCGGGCATCTCGACCAGTGGCAACCTCCGAAGTTACCGCGAGCGACCGAATTACGAAAACACCCTGCATAGATGGAA